ATATTTTGCTTGAGCAAAATATTTGGTCGAAATGGAATTCAAAAAAAGCTTCTTTTGCTTCTTTCTTTTTTTTTTAATGTCATATTTCTCTTTTTCTGAATCAAAATATTCCATTAATGAACAGTTTGAAGAAACTGTGTGATTGTTAGGTTTTTTAATTTGGCTTTAATCACCCATCGCTCATTTAAACGAAATTGTCTGTTGTTCTTCGATCACTGTTCAATGTTCACTTAATCCAAGCGTCGTTTTTTGCGTTTTATATTGTCTCGACAATAACTCAGAAGATCCTTTTCTTATTTTTCTTCTCGATAAAGTCAATTTTGTCAATATTTTTCGAGAGGCTGCTTTTTTTTGCAGATTAAACTGTACTGAACAGACGAGGACGAACAATCTGAGAGGAACAGCAGCAAGAAGAATAACAACAGCATCGGAGGAACAATGACAAAAATTGAGGGTGGTGATGTTGTGGAGATTCAGGGTGATGAGATGACTCGGTAAGTGTTTTTTTTCTTCGGTTTTGCTTTGTAGTTGGAAAGGAACTACTGTTAACCGGATGTTTACTGGAGAGGGGCGTAAATTTATCGTGGATCAAACAAAAGCTTTTCAGTAAATTCGACAAGAATTAATTCCGTGTTCTCACTTTTATCTATTTATTTTGTGTAATCAATGAACTCTTTGTTGTTCCCATCCGTTTTGTTTCACCTTTACTTCGCTTTTTTTCTTCAGCGTCATTTGGGAGCTAATCAAGGAGAAACTTATTTTGCCTTATGTTAACCTAAACTTACACTCTTATGACTTAGGCATCGAAAACCGAGACAAAACAGAGGATAAAGGTAGGTTGCTGCTTTTCCTTTCCTTTTTTTTTTAATTTTATATTTATTTATTTTTTTTTTACATAAAATTTTTACTAATCTTTTAGTAAAAAACTTAGGATTAATGGTAAGGTTATCACTGACGTTGATTTCCCACTAATTGCTTGTGCAGTTTCCTGCTGTTTTTTTGTGTGTTATTTGATAAGCAAAAAATCTTGCGGAGAAACATTCAGCTGTTACTATTCTATACGTTTTTGCCGAGTCGACATATAGACATGTATAAGAAATGTCTCTTTCACAGTTGTGCCTTCTTTCTAAAGGCTGAGCAAGTAGTTGAATGTTAAGTGTGCGAATCAATACTTTTGTTATTTGCCAATTTTTGCTTGTACTTTATTCTTTCACTTGAATACTCTGTGCTACCAGGTTTCTTTTAAGGACTAAATAAAGTTTGACAGTACAGTTTTTCAGTGACAGTTGAAGCTGCAGAAGCGATAAAAAAGTACAATGTCGGCATTAAATGTGCTACAATCACTCCAGATGAGGCTCGAGTTAAAGG